AACTAGAAAACCTAGGGGGGACAGATAAATTTCTGGAAATACACAACCCTCCTATATTAAATCAGGAAGAAATAGAAACTCTGCACAGACCAAAAACAAGTAACTAGATAGAAACAGTAATTTTAAAACATTGCCAACAAAAAAAGTCCAGGACTAGATGGATTCACAGCTGAATTCTATCAGACGTTCAAAGAATTGGTACTAGGCTTACTGAAACTATTCCAGAAGATAAAGAGAGAATCCTCCCTAAATCATTTTGTGAAGCCAGTATCACTCTAATACCAAAATCGGAAAATGACATAACAACAACAACAAAACTACACACCAACTTCCTTCACAAACACAGATGCAAAAATTTTCAACAAAATACTAGCTAAGTGAATCTAACAGCATATCAAAAAAGACAGTCTATCATGATCAAGTGGGTTTTATACCAGGGATGTAGGATTAGCTTAATATATGTAAATCAATAAATGTGATATATCACATAAACAGAGTTAAAAACAAAAATCATATGATCATCTCAACAGAAACAGAAAAAGCACTTGACAAAACCCAGCATCCCTTGATGATTAAAACCCTTAGCACAATCAGCACAGAAGGACATACCTTAAGGTAATAAAAGCCATCTATGACAAGCCTACAGCCAGCATTATACTGAACAGGAAAAAGTTGAAAGAATTCCCCCTGAGACCTGGAACAAGACAAGGATGCTCACTTTCACCTCTTCTATTCAACATAGTGCTAGAAGTCCTAGCCAGAGCAGGCAAGAGAAATAAATAAAGAGCAACCAAATCAGTAAAGAGGAAGTCAAATTGTCGCTGTTTGTGGATGATATAATCATATACCTAGAAAATCCTGAAGACTCGTCTAAAAAAGCTCCTAGATCTGATAAATGAATTTAGTAATATTTCAGGATACAAAATCAATGTACACACATCAGTAGCACTGCTGAAAATCCAACAACAATCAAGCTGAAAATCAAATAAAACACTCAATCCCTTTTGCAACAGCAGCAAAAAAAAAAAAAAAAAAAACCTTAGGAATATGCCTAACCAAGGAGGTGAAAGATCTCTACAAGGAAAAGTACAAAACACTGCTGAAAGAAATCATAAATGACACAAATAAATGGAAACATGACCCATGCTCATGGATTGGTAGAATTAACATTGTGAAAATGACCATACTGTCAAAAGCAATCTACAGATTCAAAGCAATTCCCATCAAGATACATTATTATTTTTCGCAAACCTAGAAAAAACAATCCTAAAATTCGTAGGGAATCAAAAAAGAGCCTGAATAGCCAAAGCAAGACTTTGCAAAAAGAACAAATCTGGAAGTATCATATTACCCAACTTACAACAAGGTTATACTTGTAAACTATATTATAAGACTATAGTTACCAAACAGTACAGTATTGGTATAAAAAATAGCACACAGACCAAGGAAACAGAATAGAGAACTCAGAAATAAGGCCAAATGCTTACAGTTAACTAGTCTTTGACAAAGTGAAGAAAAACACATAGTGGGAAAAGGACACCCTATTCAACAAATGGTGCTGAGAGAATTGGCAAGGCACGTGTAGAAGAGTGAAACAATATCCTCATACAAAAATCAACTCAAAATGGATCAAAGACTTCAATCTAAAACCTAAAACCATAAAATTCTAGAAAATAACATCAGAAAAACTTTCCAAACACTGGCTTAGGCAAAGAGTTCATGACCAAGAATTCAAACACAAATGCAACAGAAACGAAAATAAAGAGCTGGAACCTGATTAAACTAAAACGCTTCTGCATAGCAAAATAAATAATGAGCAGAGTAAGCAGACAACCCACAGAGTGGGAGAAAATATTTGCAAACTATGTATTTGACAAAGGACTAATATCCAGAATCTACAAGGAACTCAGAAAACTCAGCAAGAAAAAGAACAAATAATCTCACCAAAAAGTGGACAAAGGACATGAATAGATAATTCTCAAAAGAAGATATGCAAAAAGAAATGGCCAACAAACAGATCAAAAAATGCTCAATATCACTAATTATCAGAGAAATGCAAATTAAAACCACAATGAGTTACCACCTTACTCCTGCCAAAATGACCATAGTTAAAAACAAAAAACAAACAAACAAAAAAAAACATGTTGCTGTGAATGTGGTGAATAGGGAAAAGGTTTACACTGGTGGTGAGAACAGAAACTGGTACAACCACTATGGAAAACAGTATGGCAACTCCTTAAAGAACTAAAAGTAGAATACCATTTGATCCAGCAATCCCGCTGCTGGGTATCTACCCAGAGGAAAAAAGTTATTATATGAAAAATATACTTGCATTTGTACGTATATAGCAGCATAATTTGCAACTGAAAAAATATGGAGCCAGCCTAAATGCTCAGCAACCAACAGGTGGATAAAGAAAATGTTATATATGTCATGGAATATTACTCAGCCATAAAAAGGAAGGAAATAATGGCATCTGTAGTAACCTGGATAAAGTTGGAGACGGTTATTCTAAGTGAAGTAACTCAGGAATGAAAAACCGAATATTGTATGTTCTCACTTAGTAGCAGCTAAGCTATCAAGATGCAAAGGTATAAGAAGGATACAATGGGCTGGGTGCAGTGGCTCACACCTGTAATCCCAGCACTATGGGATGCCAAGGCGGGTGGATCACTTGAGGTCAGGAGTTCAAGACCAGCCTGGCCAACATGGCGAAAACCCACCTCTACTAAAAATACAAAAATTAGCTGGGCGTAGTGGCGCACACCTGTAATCCCAGCTACTTAGAGGCTAAGGTGGAAAAATGGCTTGTGCCCAGGGATTTGAAGCTGCAGTGAGCTATGATTGTGCCACTGCACTCCAGCCTGGGCTACAGAGCGAGACCCTGTTTTGAAAATATAATAAAAAATAACCCCAACGGCATTACAATAAAAATGTAATAAGTATCTACTCGGTGTGTGTGAGAGACTGGGCTAATGCTGATGGCATGTGTGGGAGTAGGGCAGGCATCTGGGGAGTATGGGGACACGGGAGGATGGGGAGTAATCTGGAGGGTCCCACAATCCGTCAGTGACTGATCTTTCTTGAGCTTACAGAGGCTAGGCAACTGGATCAGGTAAGACCGGAAAACAGTGGCAGAGCCTGGATTTGCACCCAGGCTTAAGTCTGACTGCTCTTTCCCTCCCCTTGTGCCCTTAAACTGCAGAGAGGGACGACAAAGTGGCTCAGATGGGTTCAAAAAGCTCCCAGGGCTCAGCTGTGGTTCTGACTGCCTGAGACATGGCCAGGTGACACAGCAGACCCCTAACCCCAGGCTGTGAGACACGTGGGTCGGACCAGAGGGACTTGAATGTCTTCTGGGGCTGCTCCTCTAAGTGCAGCAGCAAGGAGGGTGAGCCCAGACTGAAGGCGGTGCTGGGGGCAGTGTGTTTGCAGTGCTGAATCACCAGCTGCTGGGAAGTTGTGACTTTCACTTTCTCTTTTGAATTCCTGGGTTTGTCTGGGAGGCTGGAGGACCTGTCTGGTTATTAGACAGAGGCACAGCTAGAGTTGGGATCCGCACAGCTCAGAACACCTGGATCTTGCTCAGTCTCTGTCAGGGGAAGATTCCTTGGTAAGCTGGGGACAGTTGACCTCCCCGCCCCCCCCACTGACCCCATCTCCTTATTCTCACAGCAAGCTCTGTAAGGGAAGGCTCATTCAGCTTTTGTAGATGAGCTCAGAGAAGTTAGGTAACTGGTTCAGATCAGACAGGAAAATAGTGGCAGAGCCTGGCTTTTTACCTAGGCTTGAATGTGACTGCTCCCTCCCTCCTGCTGTGCCCCTAAACTGTAATGGGGGAACGAAGGAGCAGGTGCGATGGGTTCACAAAGCTCCCTGGGCTCAGCTCTGTTTTTGATGGCTGAGACACAGCGGGGTGACCCCATAAGGAAGGTGGGGGTTGGGGGTGCCCATCTCTTTGGAAAATTTGAGGAACCAAAGAAGGTGGAGGAGGGGAGATGACCCGGAGCCCAGCCTTTCCATGTGACCTGGCCACACCCAGGCTGGCCCCAGGGTGCTGCTGCTGAGGCCCAGTGGGGCAACAGATTTCTTTTGAGATGCAAGGAACTCAGAGGTCGTCTCACCCACCCTGAGTCTGAGCACCAACTTGTGCCAGGCTCTTTGGTGAAACTGAGGCCTGGGAGGCAAGTGACTTGTCCAGGGTCCTGCGCAAGGTGAGCAGGCTGAGCAGGTAGATCATACGTCCACGTCTCTGGCCCTCACCTCTGTCCCTCTGTTCAGACCTCTGGGGTGATGGAGAATAAACACACTGTACCGTGTCTCTAATGGGACATGTGGCTCAGACAGCGGAATGAGAGGGTGCATTGCAGAATGGTGCCAGTGGCATGATGCCAGCTTTGCAATCATGAGATTCAAAAGCCACACTGTGGAACTCTGAGTATAACATAGGAGTGTGAGCTTAGATCTCTGTTTGTAGAAGCAGAATCAAACCAGGAAACTGGATTATTAAAATCACAGATTTTTGCTTCAATATGAGAGTCACAAAGCCAGATGCTGGCCTCCCCTCTGCCCTCCAAGAGCTGTGTGACTCTGGGCAAGTCACCTCCCCTCCCAGCCGAAGCATTTTCCCCTCTCAAAATCCTGATAGAGCTGCCCAAAGCACATGAAATCAGGGGGTAACTTCTGTGAAATCTGAGTCATGGTTTTATTTGCTCTTCACCAGCAAGAGATGCCCATCAAGGTGGAAAGCGCCGTGGCTGGCTTGTGATCCTAGTGCTGCGGGAGGCGGGGCGGGAGGACCGCGTGAAGCCGGGGGTTCAAGACGGCCTGGGCAACACAGGACATGCCGTCTCTATGAAGTTAAAAATGAACAAATTAGCCCAGCGTGGTGACGTCTAGTCCCAGCTACTCAGAAGGTGGAAGAAGGAGGATCACTTGAGCCCAGGAGCTCTAGGCTGCAATGAGCTATGATGGCACAAAAACACTCGAGCCTGGGTGACAGAGCAGAACCATTGCTCCAAAATGAAATGAAAATGGTGATTTCTCAGGAGGAGCACACCGTCTCCACCCCTGTTTTCCCGCCCAAGGAGGAAGCCCCACAGCGACATGGACGGAGCTGCATTGCTGAGAGTCTGTGTCCTGTGCATCTGGTGAGCTTGGCTCAGAGCGCTGAGGTGGGAGGGAGGGCTCCCTGTCTGGGCTGCACAGTAGGCCAGGGCTTGGGCTCGACCAGGCACCATCTGGGCTTCTTCGAGGAACCAAAGTTTCTTCCGAGAATTGACCAACCAGCAGACTTGCCCAGGACTAGGACACCGGCTGTGTCCTCGTCAAGGCTAATGGGCAGTCCAGCCTCAATATTCAGCAGAGGCCCCAGATCAGGGTCTCAGCCAGGCCAACAATGACCAGGGAGGATGGGCTCCCAGGCACAGCTCCTCACACGTGTGGGGCATGTCCGAGGCTCCAGCTCTCTCTGCCCTCCTGCTCCTCTGCTCTCTCCTGGTCCTCCTGGCTCATGGTGTTGAGATGGCTGCCCTGGCCTAGAGGGTCACACCGAGAACAAACAGGAGGAGGGGGAAGAAAAGCCCCTCTCCTAAAGGACCCAGACGCCCCTCAGCATACTCCCCTGGTGAACTGCTGTTCAGGAAGGAGTCCCCCTTTTACCCTTGCTGCATGGGGGCCCCAGAAGACACACATCTAGGGGCCCCAACCCTGAGACAAAGTCAGGAAAGGGAAAGAGGGAGGTAAGTGGCTTGTGAGAGGGCAGCTTTTGGAGACCTGGAAGATAGAGCCCCATCAGAGCCCCTGGGAACCACTGTGCTGTTAAAGTCTGCAACAAAGACCAGCTGCTGGAACTGGCTGTGCCAGGGAGTGAGCAGAGACACATGGTGAGGAAAGAAAAATGGTCCTGCTTGGAGCCGTCCTGACTGTGATGGGCTGAAGCGGTGTCAGGGTTATCACTCACTGTATCATTACTAGTCACTTTCATCCTGTGTGTACGCTGCCTCTACCTCTCCTCTCCACCTTTTTCTGACATCGTATCACCAGTTTGATGTCTTCCATGAGCAACAGTCTAGCTGTAAACAATTGACTTACAACTTTCCTATATGCTCAGTTGTACCCAGTGTTTCTTAACTTCCCTCTTTTAAAAATGACAATGTTAACCCTCCTTCTCCTTCGTTCAGCGCTTCACATCACAGCTGCTATGTTTCTGCTTTAAATTTTGTCCTAATTTGTACGGGTAACAAATTGGCCTCCCTCTGTCCACAGCTGGCTCACATTCCATCTCACAATTGTTTTCTCCTCCTCAAGGGTGCAGCAGAACCATCCAGGCTGGACGGTGGCTGAAGAGCTCCAACGTATGCCTCTCAGTGACCTTGTTGCGGGCATCATAGACTCAGGTAGGCTCACCTCCTCTTCCCTGGCTGGTTCCTACTTACACCTAGAATGAAAGGTGGTGCCTCCAGAGCCGAGTGAGCCGCAGAGGAACCCAGATGAGGAAGGAGGCCGATGAGTGTGCCCCAAGCCCCAAGAGAGGCCAGCTGAAATAGATGGGTTCCTCCCCAAAGCACCATGGCATTTCCCTGGTAAATTACTCTTCCCAGGCTGCCCTAGTAAAATGCCACAGGCTGGATGGCTTCAACAATTGACTTATTTTCTCAACGTCCTGGAGGCAAGAAGTCCAAGGTGAAGGTGTTAGCAGGGTTGGTGTCTGGAAAGGAAGCTGTTCCCGGCTTGCAGAGGCTGCCTCAGTGCTGTGTCCTCACGTGGTCTTCCCCGTGTGTGTGTTTGTCTGTGTGTGTGTGTCTGTGTGTGTGTGTGTGTGTGTGTGTGTGTGTGTGAGAGAGAGAGAGAGAGAGAGAGGAAAAAAGAAAGAGAAAGGGAAGGAATGAGGAAGAGAGGGCTAGAGGGCAAGATAGAGCAGAAAGAGAGAGAAAAGAGAGATCTTCTGTCTCTTTCTTTCTTTTAATTGGACACCAGCCTACAGGATTAGGATCCGACCCTTATGACCTCCTTTAAGTTAATGACTTCCCAAAGGCTCAACGTCCAAATATAATCACTCAGTAGAAGAATTGGGTGAGGATACATTTCAGTCTATAGCACTGATGCCTCCATCAAAAATTCCCCATGTGACAGCTGGTCAGGAGGATGAACACTAAACCACCTTGTACTCAGTGCCATTTATACTGCAGCAAACCTTCTCCCAATCTTAGCCTTTTTGCTTCCAACTAGAAATTAGAAACTTTACTGAAAACATCACCAAATTCTTCCAGAAGGTAGTTGATCCAGTGTATCTGGAAATCCTGCAGACTGACAGTGAAGCCTGGCAGAGATTTGTGGCTGTGGCTGGACTGCCCAGGTAACTTTCAGGGGGTTACCTCTATGGGGTGCCCTGGCGATGACACCCAGATCTCCCCTGGGCTAGTTTTCTGTTTCAGGCACACCTCCTCCAGGCAGCCCCCTCTGCTGAGCCTGAGGTTATCCCTCTCAGTAGTCCAGGAGGAATATTTCCTCCAAGTCCTTCACTGGCAGTGAGTGGCCTCAGGCTGAGGGGAGAGGAAGCCCGGAAGGGCAGGGTCATTTCTGCCATCTACTGGTGATGGGAGCTTTGCAAGTTACTTGACTACCTTCTGCCGTTCTTCATCCATTGAGCTTTATTATGAGAAAAATAAGATAAAGTGCTTAGCATATGAAGTGCTTAGCATGATGACTGACCCACAGTAGGTGCTCAGGAGACTCACAAGTCCCCAACCAAAGAGAAAAACACTTTCTCTACCATCTGGTCCAAATTTGGGTCTTTTCAGCACTAGTGATTGACAGAGATGATTTTCAAAGCCTCATGAGTCCTCAAGAGGGTCCATGAAATTGCACATGGCCTTGGCATGCGCACAGGTGAAGCTGTCACTTACCATGGCATTAGTTTGGCTGGTGACATGTGAGAGGGAGTCCCTGGAGTGTGGAGGTGCCAGGTCAGGAGGCAGTGAGGTGGCTTGAGAGTTCGTGTGGAGCCAGGATTCATAGCCAGGTCTTTTACTTTTCAGTCAAAAAGGACACTGACTGGACCCAGTGGCCTTCAGTCGAAAGGTCAAAGGGCTTGAGGCATTGGAAGAGAGAATACAGCAGGCAAAGTGATGCCTCTTCGTCTGAGGTTTTGTTTGAATTCTTAAGTACTCAGATTTAGCCAAAATGCAACGTCTGAATACACCCTTACTTCTGACACCAGTTGCAAACTTGAGGGGCTTTCTTAAGCCCTCCTCAGGCTGGATAATTCACTACAAGGACTCACGAAACTCCCTGAAAACTGTTATTGCACGATGGCGGTTTATCACAGGGAAAGAACACAGATTAAAATCAGTCTAAGCAAGAGACACACAGGGCGGAGTCTGAAGCTTCCACTGTCCCCAGGACGCTGTGTTCTCCCATGTGAGTGTGGGTCAAAACACGCGGGGTGCTCGTGACCAGGGAAGCTGACCCAGTTAAGAAAAAGCTCCTGTGAATCACATTAAATCAGGAAGGAAGGCTTTATCAGGATTGTTTTTACAGAAGAGGGAGGCTGAGCGCGGCTTTGAATACAGTAAAGACAGAGGGGGAGTCACAGCCAACACCAGGGTGAGGGGTGGGAGATGAAACCCGACTGACAGGACACAGCAGAGTGGGGGGTTTGTCCTAAACTGGCCTGAGAGGATTCTCCCTAAAGGCAGGTCAGACGCTCACGCATCCAATGAGCAGGTGAAGGCCGTGATGGGATGGCAAAGGTGCTCAGACAGCAACGGGGGAGGACCCTCCCTGGTCCTAAACTGACTTGGGGCAATCTTGCCGAGCCCCGGCGGTGCAGGCCCAGAGAGCACAGCACGGGTGTGGGAGGCCAAGGTCGGCGCTTAGAGGAGAAGAGGCTCAGAACAGCCCAACTGGGGTTTGGACAAAGAGAAAGTCTTTCTCAACCCGTGCCTCAGTGCAGAGCTCTTCCTGGGTCTGGAGCACAAACTGGCCTCGTGGCTGACGTGGAGTCTCCAGCCCGTCTCCGCGGCCTCACTCCCTTGGCCTCCACTTCTTCTGATGGTCAGGAGAGAAACCCAGTGTCCCCAAACTCCCATCATCCATCACGGTGCTATACTGTCCTGAAGCCAAACCACAGAGGAATTAAAGACGTTCCTACCAGGCAGGACATTCCAGGGCCCCAGAGACCACTTCCCAGGGGCACAGGACAAAGGCAAGACCACTCTTCTGATGAAGTCAATTTCTCACTGTTCAGTGATACTCTGAACGAAGGTCTTTTTGCTCCCATCCCACTTCTCTTTGTTTTTCTACGACGTTTCCCCTCTCCACACACTCTGGTAGTGACGGCGGTGACCTCCCTCGCGTGGGGAGCCGTCTTTGTTCAATACCTACCACTAAGGTGCATCTGAAGACAACTTTAACTTATTTCTTCCCATACTGAGTAAGTACTGTGGTGTATCCATGAGGTACAAAACACGTTTAGCCTTGAAAAAATTATTTACATTTTAAAACTTTATTTCCATTTGACTTCTAGTAACAGTTCTGTGATTTCTGTAGAATGGATCGTATTAAGCTCATTTTACAGATAAGTAAGCTGCCTTTCTTAATCATCTGTCCTTTATTGGTACAGAGATGAGGCAAATGCTCTCTATGAAGCTCTGAAGAAGCTCACAACACATGTGGTTATTGACGACAAAGACAAGTGGCAAAATGACCGGCAGTCAAGAGAGTGGTTTTTGAAAAATTGTCCTCAACTCCGAAGGCATATTCAGGAGTCCATAAGGGAGCTTTATGCCCTTGCAGATAGGATTGAAAAGGTCCACAGAGACTCCACCATCTCCAATGTGGTGTCCTCCGCCACTGGCACTGCCTCTGGCATCATGTCTATTCTCGGCCTTGTTTTGGCACCATTTACAGGAGGGACGAGTCTGGCCCTCACTGCAGCTGGGGCAGGGCTGGGAGCACTGTCTCTTGTGGCTGGGGCCATCACCAATGCCGTGGAGCACTCACACACATCATCAGCACACGCCGAAGCCAGCAGGCTGTCTGCGACCAGCATGGACAAACTGAAAGAATTTAGTGAAGTTATGCATGAAATGCCACCCGACTCACGCTCCCGCGTTATTGATTTTTACAAAGCCACAGAAGTCCTTGGGAAGCAGGTTCGTGCCATAAGGGGAGCCAGAGCCGGCGCCCAACACCCTGGGCAAATCTCAGCTGAAAATGGTGCTGGGTTGATCTTAACAAGTGGACCCACCAACTGGCTGGCGGGCAGAGGAGGCCAGATGATAAATGTGGCCCCTACAGGCATCCTGCTTGTGCTGGATGTGGTCAACCTTGTGTACGAGTCAAAGCACTTGCTTGAGGGGGCAAATTCATGGTCAGCGGAGGTGCTGAAGCAGCGGGCTCACATACTAGAGGTGAATCTAAAGGTGCTCTCTCAGATCTGTTGACCTCTGAACCTATAACGTAGTGGGGAACTCCAGAGCAGTGCAGCCATGAGGGGAGACGAGCTGAACACGGGCCAGGACAAAATGCAGACATTTTATTAGAGGGATAAAGGGGGCGAGACAAAGCTGATGGAGCTGAGTGTTAGGGGCTTTGGCATTTCTGTAGCTGAGCACAGCAGGGGAGGGGTTAATGCAGATGGCAAGTGCACCGAGGAGAAGGCAGGAATGCCGAGCCTGGAATAAGGGAAGAGAGAGGACGGGATAGTGTGGGGAACGGGAAGAAACAGTTGGCTTTAGGCCAAAGCATATATTGGGAGAGGAATAGAGGGGAGGCGTGCAGGAACAGCCAATGAGGAGGCCAGGAAGAGAAAGAGCTGAAAACGCAGCGAGCCAAAATGCAGACCCGCTCATTTGTTTGATGTTTTTCTAAGAACGAAGTCTTTCCCTGGCGATGGGCTCCCACCTGTCTCTCCAGCATCCACTCCCCCTTGTCCTTCCGGGGGTGTGTCTCAGACGGTGGCTTCTTGATGGTGGTGGTTGTAGTGTGACGGGTCCCCTTTTAGGTTATTTAAGGGTGTTTGTCCCCTGCTTGAACCCTGAATGCCAGGCAATGAGCCATGGCCATGGTCCCCAGCTGAGGACCAGGTGCCTCTGAGAATCCAAACATCCTGGAGAACATGAGAAACCACCAAGAAAATGTGGCTCAGACACAGTTGGCAAAGAGCCAGAAAGTTAACTGCAAAGCAGTCTGGAGACTGGAGGCAGAACGGATCTCCAGGGTTGTCCTGCTGAGCGCCCCGTGTGGACATCCTAATAAACTCACCAAGCAGGACTTGCTTGAGTCATTCCTTGGTCTCACTGCTGCTTTTCCACTTCGGGGGCAAGTTACCGTCTCAAATTTTTGTCCTAACAGTGGTAAAGCTGATGGTGATGATGTCAACCGACAGTGGGAGGGTCTGAAACGTGCTTGGTTCTGCTTGAGAACAGGGTACGCTGAGGGGCCAACGACATGCCAGTGAAACTCCAAATGCTGTATTCGAAAAGTAGTTGATTTGTGAAGGAAAATAAAAGCAAAACCAGATGCCAGCAACAAGTCACGTAACTTTGTGGTGCATTGAAAAGATACCCCAGCCTGCAGTCAAGAGATCCTGCCTCTCTGAGCCTCCGTTTTCTCATCAGCTGGGAAAGGGGGCAGGATGAGCTGATATCTCAGGTCCACCTGGCTCTCCCCTCTTGCGTTCTGGAAATTTGGGTTTAAGCAACGTTGACTGATGCCTGCACCTTTGCGGTGCTGATGGAGGCTTCCCTGGGCTCTGGGTGCCTGACTTCTCTCCTCATGATCCTTTTTCCAGGGTTTCAGGGAGCTAGGTCTCCATGCTCCCTTCCGCTTGCTCTCCTGGCCGGTCCTTCTTCTGAGACCCCAGTGTCCCCTGAGGCACTCAGGAAAAGCTTGTAGACATCTGACTTGGGCCGAGCCCATGTGTGGTCCCCATCTAGCAGCCCGGGCCTGAGAGTGACATGGGTCCCATTAGGCTACTACAATCAGAGGAGCCTGTGTGTAGGTTAAGAGAAAGTCCATGACACATAAAGGGACACAGACAGCCAGACAGCAAACACCCTCATTCAGTCTGCAAACACCCTTATCCAGTGTGCCCTCTCATTTTGCCCAGACACCTGCAAGAGCTTCCAGAATGGTCTTCCCTGTTGCACAGCTTTGGCCACTATCCCAGCCCATCCTCCACCCCGGGCCAGGTTGGCCCTTAAGAACATAGATTTCGTCAACACCTGCTTCCAATTCTTCAGTGGGAAGCCTCCTCAGAATTTTCCCCTACAGGGAAGGGAGAGGGAGGCCTCTAACCATCGCTCCTGTTCTTGATGGGCTTGCTCCAGTGGGCATTAATTATCTGTATTTCCATGTATCGAAACTGTGGACGCCTTGGCTGGAGCCCAGAGCAGGGGCGAGAGATATAAGACGCACAAAATCACGGCAGAACCTCTCCTAAGTGACTCATAAAGTGCCCCCAGGGCCTACTGAGTTTTGTGTGTGTGTAGCACGGAGCAGATGACTTGCCTTAGTCCCTGCAACTCCCCGTCAGCCGAGGCTCCCCTGACATTCAGTTGATTCACCCATTTCTTCCTGAAGAAGTCAACAGAGCCACAGCCACTGACTTGCCTAACTCGGGCACAATGTGTGTCATTTGTCAAGGATTCATCAGTTCTTGGAGAATTCACACTTTTTCATCCATTTCACTGAAGATTTCCAGCACTGCGCAGTTTATTTCTTCAGTGACCCATCAACCATTTGCCCCTGACACTTACAGTAAAAATGCCACCATGTTTTCTGCATTTGATGCAATTCCACTCTACGGTATCTGTTGCAAGCGACAAAAACAGAGTCTGATTGTCTTAAGCAAAGTCGGAGGTTCACTGGATGTGACCCAGGGCAGGTCAGAGGATGGAAGGAAGAAGAAAATGCTTTTCCCTGACATCCAGGGTTCTAGACGAGGCTTAGGGTGACTAACTGGCTGCTTCCACATGGGATCCTGAATCCCGAGCAGGTGAGGCAGACCCCAGGGTGCTTAGAACCCGTTCTCAGTGAGAGCAGCAGGAATGCCCCGGAGGGGAACAGACACAGTCCTGCACCGGCAGAGATGACGTCCGCAGGTGGTGGGGCAGCCTGTGGCCGCGTCACTCCTGACAAAGCGGGGCTCTCGTGCTTGCTGCCTTGGACACCATGTCGCTGTCTTAGTGTCTATTAATTTTCTAAGCCAATCTCCAGACTCCTGGGCAGGTGGGGTTCTTCTGATATCATTCCAGTGAATTTCATGTTGGTTCCTGCCCTAAAAAACCAGAGTTGGTACCTCTGCTTGACCAAGAAGCCTGGTTGATCCAGACCAAGAGCAGCAGGCTGCCTTTATTTGCTTCATTAACAGGAACCCCTCAGGAATTGCAGCTTCCACTGATGAGCTTCCTACTTTGTTCTGCTGTTGGAAAACAAACAGTAGTTTCCCTGTTGAGAACTGGTCATGCTGGAGAGGTGAACAGGTGAGTCAGAGGAATCACTGCTTCTGATCCCTTTAAACCCTGATTCAAGCGATTCTCCTGCCTCAGCCTCCCAAGTAAGTGGGATTACAGGGGTGTGTTACCGTGCCCGGCTAATTTTTGTGTTTTTTTGTAGAGACGGGGTTTCACCATGTTGGCCAGGCTGGTCTCGAACTCCTGACCTCAGGTAATCCACCTGCCTCAGCCTCCCTAAGTGCTGGGATTACAGGCGTAAACCACCGCGCCCGGCCATGGGAAGAGAATTTCTTTTTTTTTTTTTTTTTTTTTGAGACGGAGTTTCGCTCTTGTTACCCAGGCTAGAGTGCAATGGCGCGATCTCGGCTCACCGCAACCTCCGCCTCCTGGGCTCAGGCAATTCTCCTGCCTCAGCCTCCTGAGAAGCTGGGATTACAGGCACGTGCCACCATGCCCAGCTAATGTTTTGTATTTTTAGTAGAGACGGGGTTTCACCATGTTGACCAGGATGGTCTCGATCTCTCGACCTCGTGATCCACCCGCCTCGGCCTCCCAAAGTGCTGGGATTACAGGCTTGAGCCACCGCGCCCGGCCGGGAAGAGAATTTCTTTTGAGATACAAGAAGCCCAGAAACTGTTTCATCCACCTTGCCTCTGAGCACCTCCTCTTTCCTGCAGGGAAACTGAGGCTCTGAAAGAGGAGTGACTTGCCCAGGGTCCTGTGATGGGAGACTGAGCAGGTGAATCGCAGGACTCCGCCTCTCTGGCCCTTTGTTCAGGCCTGTGGGGTGATAGGAGAAAGATACTGCTGTGTGTCCTGAATGGGAAAGACGGCCATTCAGAGGCTTGTGTGGGAGCTGGCTTGGTGGGAGGGTACATTGCAGAATGGTATCTGCAGCATGATCCCAGCTTTGCAATCAGAAGATTGAAAGCCAGACTGTAGGGCACATGTTCTCAGGATCTCCTGGAGCTACGTCATGGGGAAAAAATAGAAAATAAATTTCTTTAAAACTTAGAAAAAGTGTGAGCTTAGACCTCTGTGTTTGTCCAAGCAGGAGACAAACCAGGCTGCCACCAGCGGTTAGGAACAATTAGCTGGGGACAGAATAGAATCCCATTTCCTACTTCAGAAACTTTGCGATTGGCCGGGCGCGGTGGCTCATGGCTGTAATCCCAGCACTTCGGGAAGCTGAGGCAAGAGGACTGCCTGAGCCCAGGAGTTTGAGACCAGCTTGGGCAACATGGTGAAACCCCATCTCTGCAAAGAAGACAAAAAATTAGCCCGTGCTTGTGGCTCCAGCTACTTGGGAAGCTGAGGTGGGAGGCTCCCTTGAACCCAAGGAAGTCGAGACTACAGTCAGTGACAGGGTGAGGACTGAGACCCTGTCTCAGAGAGAGAGAGAGAGAGAGAGAGAGGAGAGAAGAAAAGAAAGAAAGGGAAGAAAGGAAGAGGGAAGGAAAGGGAAAGGGAAGGGGAAGGAAGGGCGGAAGGGAGGGACAGAGGGAGGGACAGAGGGAGGGACAGAGGGAGGGACAGAGGGAGGGACAGAGGGAGGGAGAGGGCGGTAGGAAGGGAGGGAAGAAACTTTGAGATTATTAAATCACATTTTTTTTTTCCTTAAATCTCAGAGTGGGAATGTCTGGAGTTGGCCTCCACTCTGCTTACTAAGAGCTGTGTGTCTCTAGGTAAGTCACTTTCCCTCTCTGGGCTTCAGGTTTTTCACCTGATAGATGGGCTTAGCGTCTCCTCCCCTAATGATCCCCAGGGTTGCAGGCAGCCAATGAGGTTCTGAGTAGCGGAAGGGCACACTCTCAGCAGTAGTGGCGGTGGCAGGGAGCTGGGATTGCAAACCCAGAGGCCTGCAGAGGCCAGGCAGGGACTGGGGTGAACTGGAACCACAAGCAGCCTACTTGGATTCAGCCAGGATGGCTACTGATAGAAGTGGGGGTCTTGGCCAGGCGTGGTGGCTCAAGCCTGGAATCCCACCGCTTTGGGAGGCTGAGGTGGGCAGAGGATGAGGTCAGGAGCCAATACGGTGAAACCCTGTCTCTACTAAAATACAAAAATTAGCAGGGCATGGTGACGCGTACCTGTTGTCCCAGCTACTTGGAAGGCTGAGGCAAGAGAATCACCTGAACCCAGGAGGTGGAGGTTGCAGTGAGCCGAGATTGTACCACTGCACTCCAGACTCCAGCCTGGACAACAGAGCAAGACTCTGTCTCAAAAAAAAAAAAAAAAAAAAAAAAAAAAGCTTCCTTTACACGCCTGTAATCCCAGCACTTTGGGAAGCCGAGGTGGGTGGATCACAAGGTCAGGAGTTCAAGACCAGTGTGGCCAAGATGGTGAAACACTGTCTCTACTAAAAAATACAAAAAAAAAATTCCTCACCCTGTCACTGAGGCTAGAGTACAGTGGCGTGATCACGGCTCACTGTAGCCTCGACTTCCTTGGGTTCAAGGGAGCCTCCCACCTCAGCTTCCCAAGTAGGTGGTAGCACACACCTGCGATCCCAGCTACTCAGGAGGCTGAGGTACAGAATTGCTTGAACCCGGGAGGTGGAGGTTGCAGTGAGCCGAGATCGTGCCACTGCACTCCAGCCTGGGGTATAGAGCAAGACTCCACCTCAAAAAAAAAAAAGAAGTGGGGATCTCATGTTGCCCACTTCATGTTTACAAAGAAAGATCCTATAGATCATTTGATGTGAAATTTCCTGAAATGTAACTGTTGGTAAATAAAGTATTTAAACAATACATATGCAAACACACACTTGCACACACACACACACATACCTTACACATAATGGCTGGTCAGATTTAGTGCATAGCCAGCCAGCTAGTTTTCTGCTTTGGAATTATAGGCTGCTAATTTTTTTTTTTTCGAGATAGGGTCTTGCTTTTTCACCCAGGCTAGAGTGCAGTGGTGTGAACACAGCTCACTGCAGCTGTGACCTCGTGGGCCCAAGCGATCCTCCCACCCCAGCCCTGCTAGTGACTGGAATGGCTGGCATGTACCACCGTGCCTTGCTAATTTTTGTATTTTTTGTAGACACAGGGTTTTACCATAT